ACAGGGCAGCCTGCACGAGGAGATCTGGCTGCGCCGCCCACCTGGCTTCACTGGGTCGTTCCCTCCTGGTACCCAGTGGAGCCTCCGGCGGCCGGTCTACGGTCTCCGCCAGGCGCCACGTCAGTGGCACGACACTCTGAGGACGACACTTGCGGCTCTTGGGTTTGCTCCTTCGACTGCTGACCCGTCGCTGTTTCTGCGCACCGACACTTCGCTGCCGCCGTTCTACATCCTCGTGTACGTCGACGACTTGGTCTTTACCACTGCTGACACTGAGGCTCTCGCCCTGGTGAAGTCGGAGCTGCAGTAGAGACACACGTGCACAGACCTGGGTGAGCTGCGCAGTTACCTTGGCTTGCAGATCACCCGGGACAGAGCACGCCGCACCATCACTCTGACTCAGTCACACATGGTGCAGCAGGTCCTTCAGCGCTTCGGCTTCACCTGGTCCTCGGCACAGGCCACTCCTCTGGCTACAGGTCACTCGCTCTCAGCTCCACCTTCGGACGAGTCCGTAGAGCCGAGTGGTCCTTACCCAGAGCTAGTTGGCTGCCTCATGTACCTGATGACCTGCACTCGTCCTGACCACGCGTACCCTCTTGGCCTTCTGGCTCGCTACGTGGCTCCTGGTCGGCACCGAAAGGTGCACATGGATGCTGCTAAGAGGGTACTGCGCTACTTGTGCAGTACATCAGGCATGGGGCTCGTGCTTGGAGGACGGGGCGACGTTGTCCTCACTGGTCACTCGGACGCTTCTTGGGTTGACGACCAGGCTACGCAGCGGTCGTCACAGGGTTACACCTTCAGTCTTGGCTTTGGCTCTGTTTCTTGGCGGTCTACGCGCTCGTCTTCTGTTCTCGGCTCCAGTTGTGAGGCTGAGATCTACGCCACAGCCATGGCTGCACAGGAGTTACGCTGGCTCACCTACCTGCTGACCGACTTGGGAGAGAGGCCTCGTTCTCCTCCAGTTCTGTACGTCGAAAACAAGGCAGCCATTGCCTTGTGTCAGAAGCACAGACTGGAGCACAGAACGAAGCACATCGCTCTGCGTTACTTCCTGGCTCGAGAGTTGCAGCAGCGGGGTCAGCTTCGTCTTGCTCACGTGGCCACTCGGGCCAACACTGCTGATATATTCACCAAGGCACTTCCGTCTGGTGATCATCATCGCTTTTGTACCTTGTTGGGCCTTGTGCCTACGTTTCCGCACTTGCTGTAGACTCTGCTTGTACTGTGATCTATATATATATACCTGCATGCTTGCTCTTGCTAGGCAGAGATCACTGTACTGTTCTTGTTGCATATATACCTCTGCATGTGAACTGGCCTTGTGGCCTTTTGCTTGTGCTCAGTGTGTGTGGTGACGTTGTGATCCACCCTGAGCTTGCTTTGCTTTTCTTGACTGGTCTTGTGACCTCTTGCTCTCCCCCACTTTGCCTATGGGGGTGTGTCAAACATATGCATATGTTATATTTGTGGGTAGGCTGTAGTGGGGTAGATAACGTGGGGTATAACCCCTTAGGGTTTTCTCCTTGTACCCAACTTTCTCGATAGTGCAACAACCTTTCCTTTACTCTCGACAAGATGAGTACGTGGAAGTGGAGTACGTGCTTGGAACACGTTGGGGACAGCCCGACGATTGCCCTTGGGACGAATCTGCAGTCGGCGCCGACGACGATGTTGCTGACGCTGAAGAAGCGAGAGGCGGTGACGGCGCCGAGGGTGGCACGGAGGCTTCTGCCGAGGGCGGCACCGCTGAGGATGTGTTTCCAGAAGGTGTTACGGGCGACGATGACGACGACGGCGTGGAGTACTGGTCACGCGAAGGGCTACCCGAGAAACTGCCCATACCATCCTATCCTCCGACTAATCGCAAGCGACCCCACCCCTCTTCACAGAACCGTGATGCCCGCCCCCCCTCTCCCAGGCACAAGCTCACCGACCACAAGAGGCAAGGTTACACCGCCGCGGAGAAGTTGAAGTGGGTTGCTCTGCTTGATGTGGCGGTGTCGGTGCGCGCCTTGGCTCGCGAGAGCGGAATCCACCGCAAGTGCCTCACCAACTGGAAGCGGGCGGCTTAATTCCTCAAGGACGTTCACTCCGCTCGGAAGCGCATGCACGGCCGCGGGCGAGCGTCGTGGTACCGGCTATGGAGTTGAAGGTGTACGGGAAGCTACTCGAGTGGCGCCGCAAGGGAACCGCCGTGTCAGTCGGCCGCCTGCAGGAGTGGTCGCGGGAGTTCATGAAGCTTCTGTACCCGGACAAGAACTGGAAAAGAAGCCAGAGGTGGTCGGAGCGATTTCGGCGTCGATGGAATCTGAGCGTCCGCATGAAGACCCGGGTCGCCCAGAAAACCGCCGCGCGTAAGAATTACCCCGTGTACTTTGCCACGTGGTTTTTGTTTATTTGTACTAACACCCTCCGTCTCTGTCCGTCCTCTCTTCCACCGCCGTACAGATGTCGCTGAGCAGTGCAAGAGCTTCTGGCAGTTCGTGCGTGCCAAGCGTCGTGAGCGCGGCATCGACACCCGCGTGGATCATCAACGCGGACCAGACCCCTCTCTGGCTGGAGATGCCCGCCACCACCACCATGGAGGAAACGGGTGTTCGCTCGGTGCCTATCAGGAGCGCGGGGTATCAGAAGCAGCGAGTGACCGTAATGTTGGCGTGCACGGCGAACGGATTGAAGCTGAAGCCATGGGTGTTCTTCAAGCGCAAGACCTTGCCGAAGGGCGATTTCCCTGCCGGTAAGTCATGAGGTGCACTGCTCGTTAACTGCGTTCTGTTCTGAGTACGAATTCTAACCACCCGTACGTGTTTCGTGCAGATGTGGTCGTCGCTTGCCACGAGAACGGGTGGATGGACTCCGCGGGCGTCATTCGCTGGCTTGAGGAGGGCGTCAAGCCTTTCTTGAAGCCTAAGTTCGGCAGACACGCCAAGAGCTCGATGCTGGTGCTGGATTCTTACCGCGGTCACCTCACCGAGGGGGTGAAGGAGAAGCTCCGCGAGATGAACTGCGTGCCGGCAATCATCCCGTCGGGCTGTACGGCGGAGGTACAGCCGCTCGATGTCTCCATCAACAAGAGCTTTAAGGCGTCGGTCCGCCAGCAGTACCAGAGGTGGTTTGAGGCAGAGGGGCAAGAGCAGCTGACGGCAGCAGGTATGGCATGAGTACAGTATTGTTTTACCCACCCCCCCCCCCCCCGAATTCTTTGTTGTTGCACTAACGGCTATCCACCGTTCTCCCGTAATGTGTCAGGGAACCTGAAGAAGCCTCCACCTGAGGTCGTCCTCAGGTGGATATCTCAGGCCTGGAAGGCAGTGCCGGCCGACCTCATCAAGCGTGCCTTCCTCACCTGTGGCATCAGCAACCAGCTTGACGGCAGTGAGGACGGACTCGCCATGGCACACAGGCAGAGCCAACTGACAGCGGAAGTGGATGTCGACGACGACATCATCGCTGATGGATTTTTTGGCAACAACTGCCAGGAGCCCGAATCTGATGAGGAGGAGTAGGAGGGGTACTGGATGATCCATGTTAGGTAGAAGTACCCCGGCTAAACTTGTTGTTTTGAGATCTTGCATAATCTGATGTTGTAGTTGCTACGGAAAATTGACAATTTAGTGATTTCTTTGTAATGCCTCTAGTAAAAGTTTAAGGGTGGCGCTTATAATAAGGACAGAAATCACAGGGGGTGCGCTTATAATCGAGTTCCGGCCATAAGCGCCATGCTCCAGATAGAGGCGCCGGCGCCTATAATCGGACGGCGCCTATTTCCGGGGTGATACGGTATATTATATTGTGTACAGTTACATTCCAGAGTACGGTAATCAATCTATCCAGCTACTGCTGAGTACATTTGCACTACCGTATTTCTTCACGATGTGTAACTTGCGCAGGCAGGTGAAAGTGAAGAATACTCATTTATACATACCGGTACAAAAAGAAAATACGAGACACAAAAGGGTGAACTGAACTTCATGCTTGTACCGTAGTCTCTCAATGCTTCATGACACCTCAGCATGGTTGCCACGATCCACCACTGGGTTCTGAGGACTTCCCTCCCCACCCAAAGCTCTGACCATGATTGAAGAATTGGAGTACCGTACAGTCTGTGCTGTAAAATTGGAAGGGAGGCATTTACGATTCCACAGTTGGATTCACCAAGACGTGACTGCTGCATGAAGGGGAATGCTGCAGGGACGTGATTCCAAATTTCAACATGTTGGTTCCGATCAGATAGCGGTATACAGACAGGGATGATCAATCTGCAAAACAGGCGCATGATGCACATATGGTTAAACGCATGGTGCTGGGTGATGCTGCATGGCATGGAGAGCAGTGAGATGGAAGGAGCGACATGCTGCACTGCGGTCACAGTAAGTGACCTTTGAGCTGCGGTTTGCGGACAGGAATGAGAAAACTGCAATCAGGCTCATCATGATGCAGGTATGGTGGGACGTATGGTGCTGGGTGATGCTGTGTGGCATGGAGAGCACTGAGATGGAAGAAGCGACATGCTGTGTTGCGGTGACAGTAAGTGATCTTTGAGGCTCCTCAGTATCTGATGGCTTCTTTAGGCGCCTCAAAAGTAGGGAGAGCATCGCATGGGCACAGGGAGCATGGCATGGGCACAGGGAGCATGGCATGGGCTCAGGGAGCATGGCATGGGCACAGGGAGCATGGCATGGGCTCAGGGAGCATGGCATGGGCTCAGGGAGCATGGCATGGGTGGGGCATGGAGGGGATGGGAGGGGAGGTTGGAAGGCCCAGGGATGAGCGGAATGACAAATGCGAGGGTGTGCTTAGGAGTAGGAGGACTATGAGTGCATAGCAGGCATGCAGTCATGCATTGGAAAAGTTGTAGGAGGAAGGATTATGCGAGTGACTACTGGGATGGTTGACAAGTGGAGGGCGAGTATGGTGCAACCCGCGCATAAGGAAGCAGAGAGAGGAAGAAGTGGCAGAGGAGGGAGCTTCCATGGCAAGATGGCAAGATGACAATGGGCAATTGGAACTTGGCTGGAGAAATGACAATGGGGAAAGGTAACAACCGAAATGCCAATGGGGAATTGACTGGAAACGGCAATAGCAAGCTGGCTGAACACAATGAAAATGGGAATCTAACTGGAAAAGTGGGATTGAAAAGTTGGGAACAACAAACGACAAATAGCAGATGAGACGGAAAATGACAATGGGTTGTTTCTTTTCTGACAGTGAGAGCATGAACATGACAATGAGTTGTTTCTGAGACAGCTCAAATGCAGCCATATATGGAATCTATGGCGAATTCAGATTAGTGTCAGTGGGAAACGGACAATTGGGAACTGACAGCGGGGAGTGTGACAGTGGGGAATGTGTCAGTGGGGAGTGTGACAGTGGGGAATGTGTCAGTGGGGAGTGTGACAGTGGGGAATGTGTCAGTGGGGAATGTGTCAGTGGGGAGTGTGACAATGGGGAATGTGTCAGTGGGGAGTGTGACAGTGGGGAATGTGTCAGTGGGGAATGTGCTGGAACATGTCGTTGTTGACCGATTGGAGGATGAGGTCGTACAGCACCGCGCTCTTCTCAATCCACCGATCGCGGGCATCTCCTTCCCCCGGCATCTTCTCCTCTCCCATTGCAATTTTCAGTAGCTTGTAGCGCTTGAAGGCGCTCCGCATCCGCCCGCTCCATTCCTCATAGTTGGAGCCATCCAAAGCTTCGATCTTGGATGGTGGCGGTTCACTCCTCTTCTCAGCTGCATCTCCACTCCCTTGATTCATCTCCTCTGCTCAGCGGGGAATGTGTCAGTGGGGAATGTGTCAGTGGGGAATGTGTCAGTGGGGAATGTGTCAGTGGGGAATGTGTCAGTGGGGAATGTGTCAGTGGGGAATGTGTCAGTGGGGAATGTGTCAGTGGGGAATGTGTCAGTGGGGAATGTGTCAGTGGGGAATGTGTCAGTGGGGAACGTGTCAGTGGGGAATGTGTCAGTGGGGAATGTGTCAGTGGGGAATGTGTCAGTGGGGAATGTGTCAGTGGGGAATGTGTCAGTGGGGAATGTGTCAGTGGGGATTGTGTCAGTGGGGAATGTGTCAGTGGGGAGTTGACCGTGGGCAAGTGGGAACATGACAATGGAAATACCAACATGCCATAGAATTGCAAAAAAAAAAGTGGGGAAGGGTGACAATGAAAAAGTGACAGCTCGAGGTATGGAAGTCACAATGGGGGGATGAAAACGGGTTGGCAATGGATAGCTGGATGTGGAAAAATGACAGTGGGAACATCAGATCAGAGTAGAAACATCTCATGCGAATTATGGTGTTAGAAAGATGTCAATGTGACGACAAGGAGTACAGATAGTGGGATGGTGTCAATGTGATCATGCCAACAAGAGCAAGACTACAGAAAGATCACAAATCGATATGAGGCTGTGCAGAAATAACTCATGGAAAAATGTCACTGGGACTTTGAGAGAAGATGACTATGAAAAACAACATTGGGAGACAGGAGCGGGAAAACGACAACAAGAAACTGACAACTGAAAAAGGGCAAAAGAAGAACAGGAATGTGCTATTCTAAACAGTTCTACATTTCAAGTCACTGGAATCATAAATGTGCGTTATGACAGACTTCATATAATGACACTCGGAACATGCCACTGGGATTACAAAATGTTGACAACGGCGACATGAGAACACGACAGTGCCATGATGTCAATGAGAACAGCAAATTGTGACAAGGGCAATAGGAGAGAAAGGAAGGTGGATGTGGAAGAATAACACCAGAAAGATGATACGGAGAAATCACAGCAGCAACATGACAATGGAGAGCTGGAAACAGGAAAAACACAACGATAATGACAACGGGAATGAACAGCCTTACCGTTCCACACTACACTCTTCCTGTTTCACTCTTCCCTCCCTCCAACGCCCACTCACCCAAGGGAACGAAACCACGTCTGGAATTTGCAATATAATAATCACAAGATGCTAAGAGCACAATGAACCTAAGCCATCAAGTTTCTCTGCTATGAAAACATAACTATGGCAGCAGATCCATTGGCATCCTGAGCCATGAGCCTCCCCACAGCTGGCCACATTCCTCCACCTCTCCTGCCATCTCTCCCACAACACCCTGCAAGCAGGGTGAAAAAAGGGGTAAGTCCCGCCATGCGCCCCCACCAGCCATGCTCTCATCCCACCCGCACCACACCACGCCTCCCTCCACATGCCATCAGGATGCCTCTGGATCTGCTCGTTAATAGTACTACTACTGATGATGCTACTGCTAGTGCTGCTCCTGGCGCTTCACCGTTAACTGCTTCCATAGGCTGCTGATGCGTCATTGCTTGCCTTGGGTGCTGTTGCTGTGCGTGGCTTGGGAATGCGAGTGCGAGGCAGTGCTGCTGCTGTGTTGAGTGGCTTGGGAATGCGAGTGGCGGCCACTGCTGCTGCTGGAGCAGCCGGGTTACGAGTGCTGTGAGGCGCAGCCTGCACTGCCTTAGCCGCTGCAGCCGTGTGCGCTGCCCTGCTCTGCCCAGGCTGAGGGATGCCACTCGCACCACCGCCACCACGCCCTGAACCCGACCCCACACCTGCTGCTCGCCCTCCTGCTGCCTCCACCCCTCCCAACGCCGCCTTCCCTGCTGCTGCACGCACCGCCGTGTGTGCTGCCCTCCCATTGCCCTGCTCCCTCACCTTCTCTGCCACCGACCCCACTGGGCTGGGCTTAACAGCAACACTCTTAGCAGCTGCAGGCGTCACACCTTTGCTGGCCTTGGCCTCGCCTGGCGATCCATGAGCTGGTGAAGGCGCCACTAGTACGGCCTTGGCAGGCTTAACGATCTTCACAGCAGAGCTCTTCACAGGAGCGTTCTTCACAGCAGCTGCAGGCGTCACACGTGTGGCCTTGGCCGGCAATCCCTTCGCTGCAGCAGGATTAACAGAAACGCTTCTAACAGGAAGATTCACAGCAACGCTCTTCACAGCGGCGGTCTTCACAGTAGTGGTCTTCACGTTGACAGCAGCGGTGGTGACAGCGACGGTGGTGACAGCAGCGCGTGCACCCATCATGTGCATGGGTGTGGGCGTGTTGCTGCGCGGCTGACTCACGGGCTTGGTGGGTCGCAGCGGGGAGAAGCCCAGCGACGCACGGGGGGAGCGCGTAGTGCTCTGCTCGTCCTCATTCAACCGCCCCACGCGCACCGCAACGGCGTGCAGCCGCTGCTGCCGCCTCTTGCTCATGCACACCTCTGCACTGCTGCCACGCTTCGACCTGCTGCAGGAGCTGTCGTTGCTGCTGCCGCTGCTGCTGCTGCTGCTGCTGCTGTTGCTGCGAATGATACTACTGCTAGTGGTGCTGCTGCTGGCGACGCTAGCGATGCTGCTGTCGTCGCCGTCGCTGTTGATGCTGCTGCTACCGTTGCTGCGGCTGCTGGTGCTGGTCAGAGTGTTGCTGGCAGAAGCTGCAGATCCGAGCGTGAGGATCACAACGGGCTCAACAAAGACAACCCCCGGGACGTACAGCCACGTCTGCTCCTCGTCGCTGTAGTCCTCCCAGAACGCATGCTCAATGGTGGTGTCTTCAGGCGCCGGGAAGCCCAGCGGGCCAGACAGCCACGTGCAGTCTTCCTCACTGAAATCGTTCCAGAACTCGTGATCGATGCTCAACGATGTCAGCGGCGCGTACAGCCACGTGCAATCGGCCGTGCTGAAGTCTTTCCAGAACTCGTGGTCGATTGAACGGCTCGTATACTGGAAAGTAGAGGCGGTTCGCGAGGCCATCGTACGAGCGGGAGGCTAAGCAACAAGGAAAATACAAGCCTCGAGAAGCGGAGGTTGATAAAACAGGTGTCAGAAGGAAGCTAGGAATCGAACAGGTGTTGTGGTTTGAATGGATATGACGAGTGGCTTTGTAGTGTTGGAAAGGCATGACAGCTCCAAGGCGAGAGGGTGGATGGAGCAGTCGCATACGCTGGGCAGGCAAGAGGAAGCAATTGTTGCTCGCAATAGAAAACTTAGTCATTCCGTAAAGTGCGTGGTCTGGTTTGTGGTTCGTGCCGAACCTACGGAGAGGTCGGGCAGCCAATGGCATGCTACCCGATTTCCTTGCTCCAAGCGCGATCTTAGCTTTGCCCGTCGCTGAATGGCAAACCGAGGGCCCAGACCAGGTCCTCGAACCAGCACGGTTCTGGGCAGCAAAATTTCACCGTTTTTTGCTGCCCAAACTCAAGTCCAGTCGCCCTTCCGTCAAGCTCGCCGCTGCTGATCCGGCGATTCGTCTGCGAAAACACGAGGCTCTTCCCGGTTGACTGAATGTGGGGTTCCTACAGGTGTAGTCTACGACCCAAGGTATGCTCGAGGCTGCCATGGCTCTGATTTCTTTCAGTCAACGTCAACGAATTGGTAAAGCAATCGACCCAGAAAACAGCGGACGCGAATGAGACGGAGGCCTGATCGGAGCGCACTACAACGTGGCGCGTACCAATGGACGAATCACTGTGTTCGCCCAGCAATCGGACGGCCTTCAGCAGCTCAAGAGATCTCGAAGTGCTCAGGAAACTAGTCTCGAGGAACTAGGGTTCCACTCCCAAGATGCTCGTTCAGCCAGGTCCCCAAGGTTTGGAATAGAATGGGAAAAACGAATGCTGCTATGTGAAGATCCGTCATCAGTTATAACTGTAGGATATACAATGTTTTAAAAGAAAGTCTTTACCAACAATCTAGCAGGAAAATTTTCCTTATCCAAGTCGAGCAGAAAATAGCACGTGCTGATGTTTTTTTTAGCCTCGATACACTCGGAAAGCTCACAAATGTGTGGTACGACTTGTAAGTTTCTTGTACTTGTCGAGGCATGATTCTTTTGTTTTTACAACAAGTACGGTCCCGTCCCTGAGCATTTTCATTTCAGTTTTGACAGCTAAGCAATTTGACATTCAGTTTAAGCCAGCTTACAGTTTATTGCTATATTGCATCAATAAGTATATGTCATTGGACAACTTTTTAACTCTCGGAAAGTGAGCATCAACGATTATGGTTTGGTTTCTTGCTTATGTCCCTACAAACAGGTGCTGTATACATCCCCTTCCCGTGTCCACCACCTGAACAATTTCGTTATTCTTCCCCTCCTTGCGTGGTGCTCTACTCCACCCAAACTCCTTTCCGGAATCATTCTCCTTTCTGCCCCGTTAGAGGAAGCTGTTAAACCTGCGGTGGGATTACAATGGCATGCCACGCATCAGCTGACATGCAACGATCGGCACATGCCTTGCCTGCCACACACACACTATGCTCGTACCTCCCATGCTGGCAGGGATGACAGACGGGTGGATGGACGAGTTGGTGCGGCCCATGCATGGGGAGGCGGTGCAATGCGGAGGAAATGACAGGTGGAGGAAAATCCATGGGAGCATGGCAATGTGAAAGATGGGTAGTCGAGCGTGAAAACAACAATCAGCAATAGGAAGCTGGTTGGACAAATGACAACAGAAGTTGATTGAAATTTTGCGTCGGGGAGTTCAATGGGAAATGGCAATGCATGAGAGGATGGCAACGAGTGTGAGGATGGCTGGTAGGAATTTGATTGGGAAAATGGTTATGCAAGGTGGCAGGAGAGATGCGTGCAGCATGAGAAGACTCAACGAACGCCAATGGAAGGTGAAAAGGCAGTTGCAAGTCCGCCATGAGCATGCGCTGGCTCACAAACATTGGCTGCCATGCCCTGGAGAGGTGGCATGAGGAGGGGATGGGAGAGGTGGGCGGAAGGGCCAAGGATGGGTGATGTCAGGTGGCAGGGATGAGAGGGTGCATCTATGGTGGCACATAGGCATGGCAAGCATGAGATGGAAACGTTGTGGGAGGAGAGATGGGTGGTGGGATGATGGACATGCGGATTGGGCGATTCTGTAGTGGGCCAAGCATGAGGAAGCAGTGTCTAGAGGAAGAAATTACAATGGGAAAACGGAAATGGGCGAGGTCTGGGAACATGACAATAGCAATGAGTAATAAACATGGGGAGGGGAGTTGAATGATTAGGCAATTTTGAAAATCACAGTGGGAAGCTGACTAGAGAAACAGTATGCGAATGTGACTGGAAGAAATGACAATGAGGAATTGGCAGGACAACAGATGTCACAGTGAAGTGAGCTGATTGGACAATATGGCAAGCCATGGGCGATATATTGGAAACTGGCAAATTGCAAGACAGATAAAAACAAAGCTTCGAATGAACAAATGGTGATGGCCAAGTAACAGGCAGATGCCTATTTGAATCATTTGGTAAGATGGGAAAAGGAATCGAGTGGAAAATGGCAATCGCAAGTTGACTGAACAAACTAAAGATGGGCAACGAACAGGGAAAATGAAAAATGAGAACCAGGAACCACCATGTCAAGTTGACTGGACAAAAGGAGAGAGGAAGTTGCCTGGGAACAGGCCGTGACGAAGAAAGAACGACAATTGCAAGGGGACTGAATGACAGCAGAACATGAGAACTTGGCTGGAAATTTGCGATTGCAAGAGGACTGGATAGAAGGGCAATGGGCAACTGACAATGAAAGAAACAAATAAAACGTTTTTGTGACGAATGGTAATGGGATGTAGAGCAGAAAATGGTAATGAGAATAAGACTGACAAATGTCAAAATAAAGAAAGCAAGATGTGAAGTATGGAGTTCCCCTTGCAATGGTGCCTTGGCATGTGGCATCTCCCCAGCACCACAGCAGTAATGCAAGTGGTTGACCTCATTCCATTTCACACTCCCATCACCTTATCTTATCTCACATCGCCACATCCCTTCTCACTCCCATTCACCACCTCATCCCATCCATGCTCTCCCATCACCTCATCCCATCTCACACTCCCATCACCTCATCCCATCTCACACTCCCATCACCTCATCCCATCTCACACTCCCATAACCTCATCCCATCTCACACTCCCATCACCTCATCCCATCTCACACTCCCATCACCTCATCCCATCTCACACTCCCATAACCTCATCCCATCTCACACTCCCATCACCTCATCCCATCTCACACTCCCATAACCTCATCCCATCTCACACTCCCATCACCTCATCCCATCTCACACTCCCATCACCTCATCCCATCTCACACTCCCATCACCTCATCCCATCTCACACTCCCATCACCTCATCCCATCTCACACTCCCATCACCTCATCCCATCTCACACTCCCATCACCTCATCCCATCTCACACTCCCATAACCTCATCCCATCTCACACTCCCATCACCTCATCCCATCTCACACTCCCATCACCTCATCCCATCTCACACTCCCATAACCTCATCCCATCTCACACTCCCATCACCTCATCCCATCTCACACTCCCATCACCTCATCCCATCTCACACTCCCATCACCTCATCCCATCTCACACTCCCATCACCTCATCCCATCTCACACTCCCATCACCTCATTCCATCTCACACTCCCATCACCTCATTCCATCTCACACTCCCATCACCTCATTCCATCTCACTCACTCACCTCATCCCACCCCAGGTCATCATCCTAGACTCCATGAGCACACCTATCAAGTTGGATGGATGATGGACAATGGGAGAAGTTAACAAGAGGACTGACAATGGCAAGCTGACTGCCATTGCCAGTCCTCACCTTCTTACCGTTGCTCCTTTCATTTAAACAACGGATCTGCATTCCCATGGAATAACTCATTCATACCAGATTCTGTTGTCATATTCACATCATATGCTTCATATTTTGGTCACTCTGACCGTTGCCTTGTGTCCAATGATACTTCACTCACTTCATTATCAAGAAGCAGATACCACTTTTCATTGTCTTTTCATTATCATTTAAGTGATTGTGTTCAAACTAACCATTGCTGCTCATTCTTGTCATTATTCCTTCCTATTATTGAACATTGACCATGGTTTTCTGTTCAAACTAACCATGCTTGTTCAATTTGAAAAAAATGTACATTCTGATCACACATGATAAGTCCCATCTGAAGATGAAACATGACCAGCCTACCTTAAAGCTCTCTGTTTTCACACTCATTCCTCCATTCCATGCAGTCCATCCAACTCCAACCACACCAAAGCCTTAAAAAATGATGCATGTATTCATAATTCTGGACATACATTAATAAATGTCTAATGTGGCACCGATCCCGATCAATTCTCTCCATCCACCATTCATTCCCATCATTCCCACAACATCCTGCCAGGCAGGATGGAAAAAAGGGGGTGTACCCTACCACCATTATTCCGCATCACCCCCACCAGCTTTACCTTACTTGCCATTGTGCCACTTATTCAAGGCTATGCTTGACCAAGCTCTACTCACCCACCTCCTCATCCGCCTGGTTCCTCCAACCTTCACTTTTGATGCCTCTGCTGTTGTCCCTTCCACTTTTACCTTCACTGCATCATGCTTTTCAGATTTTGGCATATGCTTTGACTTTTTATCAGAGTTCTTGGCAGCAACTGCAGCAGTAGCAGCGTCAACAGGGACAACAGCAGCTGAAGCCTTCCTCAGTTTGGACAGCCCAACAGGAGAGGGACGGCTGAGCTGCTTGGGCTGTTGGGCGTCCTCATGGATCCTCCCAACACGGCAGGGAACAGCATGGGGTTGAGCACCTTGCTGTCTGCTCTTCCCTTTCCCTGCTGATTCCTTAGATATGAATGTTGCAGTTTCGGGAGCCTTTTTTTGTGAGGCCTCGTTTTTGCTGGAGCTTTTTTTCACTAAACATTTTGTGCTGGCTTTTACTGCAGGAGTCTGAGCAGATGCGCAGCTCGTGCTGTTTGCACTGCTGGAGCTGAAGGTGCAGACCATCACGCTCCTGTTGCTCTTGTTAACTTCATTCTTACTGGCAGCAGGTTTTTCAACCATAATCCAAGGCGATTTCTTGCCTGTGGAGGCGAGAAACTCGTCCTTTGACAGGAACGACACGTTTCCTTCATTGCTGCAGATGCTTTCAGGGTTAAGATACCGTTGGCGGAATTCCAGCAGATCCAACTCGCTCATATACGAGAATTCATCTTCCGAATCTTCAGAAAGTCGTGCCTTTTTCGCACTTGGAGCAGCAGCAGCGGCAGCAGCAGGCGTGGATCGCTTGCGTGCTGCATCGCTCCAGCTGGGAGAGGCGGAAGCGGAGGCAGCAGGAAGGTAGTGCTTTTTCAGTCCTGCTGGAACGCATCCGTGGTCCTCTTCCCAGTAGAAGAGGTCGTCGGGGTCAGCCTTGCTGCCGGCAGCGAGGGTTTTCACGGCCATCAGCAGTCAGTTGCAAAGAGAACCTTGAGGCTTGAGGAAGGGGGTAGCAACGAGCAGTGTGAGTACAGAACGATGTGATTCAACTGAAATGAAATGGGTGTCAGACGGGGTTTTCTACTCGTGGCTACTAAAGCAGTCCGTCCTGGCAAGATGCTGCTGAGCGGTTCGTTGACAAACGAGCCGCTCTAGTTGACGGCGGAAACCGGGGTTCCGTTGGCAACGGGAGTTCCAGGTACGGTGCCCGAGGCTAGCTTTAGATTTGGTGCCTGCTCGTTTGCCTCGGAAAATGTCGACCTGGCAGATCCAATGACATCCGAACCAACCATTGTTTCCGAGATACCCGCGAAGCTCTAGAATGGATGACGTGGGTATCAGTATCGTGAGAACTCGCCACGGAGGTATATTTTGGCCCACAGGTTTTGAAACAGTGGCACGAAATGCTCCCGCGGAGAGTTCTTAGGTCTTCGAAGCGTGTGGGTAAGCCAATCGCACCTGAGCTCTGCGCCATGTCATGGTTGATTGAATCTGACTCAGGTTAGTGATCTGGCGGCGTGGAATGACATGGCGTGTGGGTCCCATGGGCTGATAGAAGTATCTACAGATCCGACCTGTGCTAATCGTACCCGATGTGCGACTATGATTAGGCTGCGGCTAAGCGGATAGCATGATGAACATTGAGATCGGCTCGCGGGTTCAGCGCCAGGGACTAGAGAATGGCTTGTAGTTGATTCTAGCAGCTGATTGCCGCAGCGGCAAGGTCGAGAGCATGCGGTGTAAGGTGGTAAAGGCGGGAACAGATTGAAGATGGAATACGTTACAATGGATACGGAATATTTTGACCTTTTAACAATTCGTATATTAACTCCCATTTTATCAATACAAACGGCCTCAATTATTCCATAATGAACTGTTTTAGCTGCTCAAATCTTTGGCTGGTTATTCATTTTACATATGATTGCCAACCAGAATCGACATGCCCAAGAGACTTACCGTTACGTATACAAGAAGCTCAGATAACGAATGGTGCAGCCACCTAGGCAGAGCCATGTATTTGGCCCCATAGACCAATCAAATTCAGATCTGCCCACCATGCTTGCCCACAACTTGTGTTATAGTCATTAACATTTTTCAGGCATCACTCATTAGCTGCCCCCCTGCACAACACAAAGAAAAAGGGTGTCATGTCCTGTCTACGTGTAGGATTTAATTGATAGAAAAGGGTGGCCACTGAAGGACGATTGTTGATTCAGAGGCGAGAAGAACTCATTGAGGCCCGGACGATCCTGCCTGCAAAATGGTCAAGGCGGGGGTGGAATGGAGTGTGGCATTTAAGTTACCGTAGTGAGACAACCATGTGTGAAGCATATATGATGTACAGCAGCAGTCAGCAGCAAAGAGAGGAAAAGGTGAGGCGTATTGATAGTACAGCATTGCAAGCTTCACAAATGAGATTCCCTCCACCCATCCTGGATCCCTTCTCCTCTCTCACCCCTCTCTCACCCCTTTCACAGAAAAAAACATTTTCCTGGAACAATCATGAGTGAAGACAGCAGACACACAACGCGGTGTTCTGCCATGACAAACCGCATGAAGGCAGTGAATGGAAGACGGGGGCAAGGCGTGGCCCACGGTGGCATGGTGTGGCCCACGGTGGCATGGTGTGGCCCGGGGTTCCCTCGAGCACCATCAGAGGGACATGCCATATCTGCGACTGAGATTGGCATGCGAAGTTGGTGATAAATGAGAAGATGACCGAGCAAAGCAACGACTTCAAATATAATAGGCAGGGAAAACGACAAAGTGAAGTTGATTGAACAAAGGACACGATGAGAAGACCGAGCAATCAACACAGGAGGATGACAGGAAAATGAAAGGAAGTTCACAAAACGAATGGCACTAAGGAGGCTGGATAAGTGGGAATGGGAACGCAGGTTGGGAAAGTAGGCCGGGGAAGTGGGGATGGGAAGTTGAGTGGCATGGCAGCCATCACCAGCCCATCCACCCATCCTGGACCACCCCACCCTTGTCCCTCATCAACCCCCTTTCAGGGTTGCCGCTTCAACCCCCACAGTCTGTCACGTCCTCCTGCTCCACCCACCGTGCCCTCACTGCCTCACACCATGCTCCATCCACCCATACTCGCCGCTCCTCCCAATTGGCTTACCTGCGTGCTCCCATCATGCTCCCATCATGCTCCCATCATGCTGCCATCATGCTCCCATCGTGCTGCCATCATGCTCCCATCATGCTGCCATCATGCTCCCATCATGCTCCCCTGCCATCATGCTGCCATCATGCTGCTATGTTTCCGCCGCCACAGTCGCTTGCAACCGAGTCAACCTCTGTCAACACCATTCCCGTGCCATCCGCATGCCCCGCTGCCTGCCTCCCCCCGCCTCCTCCGCCGCTGCCACCACTGCCGCAAACAGACAATGTGAGACGAGTCAGCAATCAACATTGGAGGGTCACAAGAAAGTGGAACTGCAAACTGGAATGCGAGTGGAAATAGGACATTCACAAAAATAATGCAACTGGAAAGTGGTTGGGGAAGTAGAGATTGGAAGTTGAGTGGAATAGCAAACCACACAAGCCCATGCATCCATCCTGCACCACATACCTGCCTGTTTTCCAAACCTCTTCTCTCGTTCAAATATTTCCTCATGCCTCTACCCACCCACCCCTCTTCCAACCCACCCTTGCAAGGTCCATGCCATGCCTCATGCTCCACCCCTTCAACCTCGGTCCCCCCATACTCGCCCCTCCCATGCTCGCCCCACCTGCCCATTGGCGTGCCATCATGCGCCCAAGCTTCCACCGCCACACTCGGTCAACCGAGTCAACGCCGCGCCGCTCCCATGCCATCCGCATGTCCCCCTGCCCTGCCCTCACCTCGCCTCCTCCGCCGCTGCCACCACTGCAGCCACTGCAGCCACTGCCCTCTCAACTCAACAGCGGTGAGTGCAGCAGTGCTGGGGAGCAGTACCCTCCCCTCCCCACCACATGAGGGCGGAGGACAGGTCCCCCGCCTCGCACACCACATCGCCCCACTGTGCGAGGCGGTGGGGGGGGAACTGTCCTCCGCCCTAGGGCAGGAAGGAGAGGCAAGTGGGCAGCAAAGGGAAGGTGTGCAGAGCAGGAGGTGGCATGAGTGCGCTGGCTGGCCTCTGCTGTCTGCTTCGGCAGGAGCGCGTCCCAATGCACTCCCGTCCATCCCCCATTCCCTTCCCCGTTGCGCCCATCCCCCCTTGCGACATCCCCGTCGCACACCTTCCCATGCTCGCACCTTCCCTGCTCGCCCCTCCTCCCAATTAGCTTGCCTGCATGCGGCCATCATGCCTGCATGTTTCCTCGGCCGCACTTGTATTCAACCGAGTCAACGGCGGTCAACGCCACTCCCATGCCATCCACTGGCTGCCTCCCTTGCCTCCTCCGCCGCTGCCACCACTGCCAAAGCGGCCCTTCCACCACTGGTGAGTGCAGGAGTGGTGGGGAACGGTTCCCCTCCATCACATTGCCCCACTGTGAATAGGGGGAAAAACTGGCCTCAGCCGTGACACAGTGTCACTGGACAGAGTGGGCAGAGGAGGGAGGAAAGTGGACATCAAGGGGAGGGGTGCTGAGATGGCAGGGGGAGATGGCATGGGGAGATAGTATGAGGAGATGGCATGGGGAGATGGCATGGGGAGATGGCATGGGGAGATGGCATGGGGAGATGGCATGGGGAGATGGCATGGGGAGATGGCATGGGGAGATGGCATGGGGAGATGGCATGGGGAGATGGCATGGGGAGATGGCATGGGGAGATGGCATGGGGAGATGGCATGGGGAGATGGCAGGGGGAGATGGCATGGGGAGATGGCAGCAGGAGATGGCATGAGTGCGTTGGCTGGCCTCGTTCTGTATGCTTCGGCAGGAGCGCGTCCAAATGCACTCCCGTCCATCCCCCATTCCCTTCCCCCTTGTGCCCATCCCCCCTTGCGACATCCCCCGTTGCGCCCATCCCCCCTTGCGACATCCCCCGTTGCGCCCATCCCCCCTTGCCTTCCCCCTTGCCTGGGGGGCGTGCGAAATCCAGCGCGCTTGTAACGGAAGGGCGTCCGCCCCGCACCGTCATCGCAGATCCGCACTACAACCCCGCCCCTCAGCGCTCCCCGCCCCGCCGCCGTCGCACGCTCCCATCCCCACTTCAATCTCGCCCGCGCACGTTCCCAAATCCACAGGATAAGAGAGTTAAGGGCGTTGGGAGGTGCGACGCAAGAAAGGCGAAATCGCACTTTGTATGCGATTCGACGAATGTTCACAACCGTTCCAAGCGAGGCAACGCGCACCTCCGTCGCGCTAACACCTCCCCAATTGGAGCGGTTGTCGATGCGCCGAGCCGCGGTGGTCTGGCTCGTCGTGGCGGTGTGGCTCGAAAATGCGAAGTGAACGACAAGCGATGCGATGAAGTCAGTGTAGGCTCGATATGTGGTCCACCGCGGGCTGCTGCTCGTGTTCCATGGGGAACCCACGGCTCTAGCGCGGACACAAAGAACGGGCCGCTGGAGGTCGGCATGCAGCCGTGCTGCGCTCGTCACGACTGACGACTGGCATTGGGGAGATGACTTTTGAGTCGACTCAAAAGGCACAAGATGAGGCGGAAAAAGGTATATTCACGAGGCTGGAAACAGACTAGAAGAGCTATATAATATTTTCAGCAACATAACGGAGAAAAGGAAACGTCGCTACTAAGCATTTGCTTCTTAGGAGGTAGTCGAAAGAGGCCTGCTGTGCATTAAGGGTAACCACATCGGAGCAGGCGCGTCTGGCGCCATGAGCTACTCGGGATTTGGGTAGCGGTGGGTCATAGGTAAAGAATGTAATGTACTGCTCAGCGAATGTGGAGGTATGGCGTGACAGGCACCATGAAGTCCATTGCCAAGCAGCCCAGTTGCGAGCGAAGATTAGACAAAGCGTTGTTTCAGTCAACTGTGTTACAGCCGTGCTTCTCCATCCATCTGAATGCGGACGAACTCTCAGCGAACGCATCTGCGACTAACTTTCGGCGTCGTTGACTAGAAAAGAAACACCACAACGCACCGAACGAAACCGTAACACTTCAAGGTTCGACGAAATTGAATCTGCTGGAGAACAAACAAGGCAACGCAACGTAACCACGGCTGCGAAGTCTAGCGAGCGAAAGCAGCACAGCGAAATCCACTGACTCTCAGCTGAACCAACGCCATCACTCTCAGCTGACTTCCTCCACATCCAGTCTTCCTGTCTTCTTGGTTTCTACTATCCCAAATCGTTCTAGTTTACCATACCACACAGCCACGAGCGACCGGCTCTATTTTCCCAAGTGGTTTACTTTACCATATTTCTGATAACGTGCGAAGAATGTCTGAAGTTGGAACAGATGCATCGTCCCATTCTCTCGTCTCTCGTCCCGATAGACTGGATTTGCGAGCGTCGTTCAATCGCCTGACCGACGACCTCACCTGCCTCATCTTCCGTTGCCTGAACCAGCAGTCACCCAGCTTCTTCAATCACGCTCTGGTTTGTAAACAATGGAATCGCCTCGCTTACCTTACACAGACGTCCATCGCCAACAGTCGGCCCAGCCTTACTGCAGATGCTGCCCTTCTGGAATCCCTTTCCCGCTTCAAAAACCTAACTTTTCTCACGATCAACAAGTGCGTTCTTGACGACTCTGGCGAATTCCTTTGTGACCTAGGATTGGTTTGTCCAAGGTTAACTTATCTTGACCTGGCCAAGGGCTATCGAGAAGGCTTGACCTATGACGGTGCAGGTAACCTTTTCACGAACTGCACTGCGTTACAGTATCTCTCGTTGAAAATGATGACAGCTTACGAAGACAGTTGTGATTTGCCGCCATCCTTCTTCGACCTTTCATCCTTGACGGAGGTCAATCTGATGGTAAATTTCGTTCAATTTCCCAATGGATTCGACAAGTTGAAGTCCCTGACGAATTTGACACTCGCCACTTTTTGGAGCGACGACCTGCCGGAATCACTCGGCCAGCTCATCCGGCTGACCGAGCTGAAGTTGTTAAGAAATGACGGACCGCTAGAGCGTCTACCTGCCTCGCTTGGTGGGCTGAAGTCATTGGTCAAACTCAGTATTTGTGAAATGGACGGATTGAGAGCTCTTCCGGACACCATCGGCCAGCTTCCGAACCTCCAAGAGGCTTATTTTCATGACAATGGACTCCTAGAACTCCCGGATTCATTTTTACAGCTTCCTTCTTTACAAGTACTTCAGGTCGTGTATTGTCACACAGTAGCATCGCTTCCAGCAACGGTTTCAGGCCTCGTTTCTCTCAAGACGTTAATCATCAGAAATTGCGATAGTCTCCACACAATTGCTGATTCCTTCTGCAGCCTTTCTAACCTCCACTTGTTGGTTCTTAAGAATTGCAGAGAGCTCAGGGACCTTCCACAGAGCATGGATCGCCTGTCATCTCTAGAGCATCTCGATTTGAGCCAGCTCAAAGGGCTTACCTATCTTCCACATACCATTTCCAGGCTGTCCAATCTCCGCACCTTCTCCTTCACCTACGCAGATGCTGTTGTCCATGTCCCTCCATCCCTGACCCACCATTGGAGCAGCCTCACATCCCTTGAGTTCAGTTGGCCAGCTAGCTGTATAAGTAGCCGCGTGGATCAAGAGGCCTTCACGGCGTCGCTTTGCCAGCTTTCGAATCTGACATCGCTTCTCCTGTTTGGTTTTCGAGACCTGATTGAGCCTCCGGACGAAATTGAGAAGCTTTCACAACTGCAGCAGCTGACTTTGGGCAACTGGGCTAGCATGGTATGCTTGCCAGAGACCATGAGCAGCCTCACCAGCCTCAGGACTCTGGTGATCGTTGCATGCCCGTGCTTTGAGGATGAGGAAACTGAGACAATCTACAAGATTCCGAACCTTGACAGTGGATGTGTTGATGGTAGGCTGCTGGGGAAGGGATCATTCGGAGGAAAGAAGTGACAGGATGGGGTGGGGGGGGTGCTGGAATGTTTTGATATGGTGGACGTTCCTTGGTCGGGTGGGGACAGTTACGGTACGGTATGATAGCTGCTGGGTTGTAGACAGGACACGTATATTTTAGCTGATATGATTGTCGTTCTGCGTCTGATTTCCCACATCGGGTGGTGGTGACCTTGACATCAATGGAGCAGAGCAGATGGGCAGTACAATTTGGCACTATTGCGCGACTTTATTGACCACGATGTACTGTTCCCTCCACTGTCATATTGCAACTTTTTCTGTGTTATGATGATCCAAAGGAATCTGAACAAAAAGGAGTCATCAATGCAATAAAATCCACCAAGCTGAAGAAGCCATGTTACCAGAAGAAGTGCCAGCGCTGCATTTTTAACTAAGTTATTTCTCCTCGTCCGTTTGCCGGCATCTCCACTGGTGAGAGCACCATTGCTGAGGACTCTGGACTCATGCAGGGCCGCCCGGCAAGCATCAAAGTACCGTATTCAACCTGCGATGCTGGAGTGGCCATGCTGCTGAATCCATGCGGGTCCTCCTCACAGCAGCTAACATTATGTGTATGTTCTCCACCTGCAACAGTGTGTCTGTGGCTTTAAGAATTTGACTGGGCCAGTGGCTTTAAGAAGTTAGTAGGAGCAAATGACACTGACAATAAGTTGGACTGGAAAATGGCAACATTGACATTGGCAATGGGAAGGTGACAGTGGGACTATGGCAATGGGAAGTGGGGATGCAAGTGTGGGAAAATGACTAGGGTGAATGAGAACGGGAAGAAGGTAAGCAGGGAAAGTAAGGTGGCTTGAACAATGGAAAAATGGTGATGTGGGGGGATGATGATGTGATTACCGTATGAGTATGTGAAGATGGCTTTGGAAAGACAATAGAGCATGGCAGTGAGAGCACGGCCATGAGAATGGGATCGGATGATGAGAATGGGATCAGGGGAATGGGCTACGAAAGAAGGCTCATGGAAATCCGTCCATGAAGAAGTAATTATAGAAGTGACACATGGGAATGGGACTATGCGAATGGGATTCTGGAATGGGATTAAGTGAATGGAAGTGCGGGAATGGGAGAATAGGATAATGAGGAATTTGGACCATTGGAACGGGATGATACGAATGAGTACATGAGAAACAGCTACACCTAGCCACCGATAACTCCATTCCTCCCTGCTGGATAAATTGCTGAATTTCACCAGGTTTGTCGTCACCTGCTGGGCTGGGCGAGAGGGCGATGCATGTATTGTTCGCGTTGACTGATGTTGAACCTAGCTACATCTCTGTAAAACATAGTGAAACCGCACTGACGAGGTGCTGCACCCAACCCTACCCAACACCTATGGCGAATCTAGAGGGAACCTTTTGCTTCCTTCGCGTCTCGATGCCAGCGACGTGAAATTATCGGTGGCTAGGTGTAGAAGGAATGGAATTATGAGAATAGTATCATGGAAATGAGATCATGGGAATGGGTAAAAAAAGTGGCATAAAGCAAAAAGA